AAAAAAAAAAAAAAAGACTGATAAGCGAAACACTTGAGTTTCCTTTTTAGAAACAATAACTTGATGTTAGTATTATATTTTCCTTTTGTTGGGTAGAGAATCATTAAGTGGTTTTTTTGTTTATTTGTTTTTGTGTTGCTGAGGATTGAAGCTGGGCCTCAGGCATATTTGGCTAGTGCTCTGTCACTGAGCTATGTCCCCAGACCATTTTAAGACTTTTCTTATTGAAATCTTATAAATTACAAAGTTTATTTAAGTTAGATTTTATTATAACAAGATTAAAAGAATTAGCCAGTGGGGAGGGGAGGAGGGGGTGAAGGGAGGGCAGGGGTAAGGGGAAGAAATGAGAATCAAGACTTGTCATGTAGAGGTACAAGATCCCAACAATGAATGTAACTGTACTGTATCCCTAAAAAGTACCAATAAACTCAATTAAAGCTGAAAAAAAAAAAAAAAAAGAATTAGCCAGCTTACATTTGTGCAGGGCGACGTAATGGGGAGCAATTTATGTTTTACCAGGATTTTCTTGTATATACAGGTGTTTATAAATTTTTGGTAATTTAGTTTTGTTTTTGTAATAGGTTTTATTGTAATTTGAGGTGTATATACTGAAGATGTATATACTAAAGTGTTTAATGTGGCACTTACATTTTCAATAGGTAGTTTTTGGAAGGAATAGGCACGTAGTACTTAGGAGGGAAGCGACAGGAGTTTTATACAGTTCATTTCAGTCAGTGGGTGTTGTCACACCTGCTGGTGAGATGGTTGCCTGGTGATTTGTTTCTGGCTACCACTCAATGTAGCAGCCTGGAAATGCTTAGTTGAATGCATAATGTGATGATGCCAACAGCTTGCATCACCACCTGAGCGCCTGATTGCAGTATTTCAGAAACACAGAAACCCTGAAATAAACTTGTTTTGGACCCTTTCCTTTCCTGGAATTAGGTTCATCTTTGGTGGTTAGCTGTGTGATCAGTTAGGTGTGTCAAGTAATGCTTGTATACTCTTGGCACATTAGGTAGTCAAGTCAGAATGTACTGTATTAGAAATTTTAAGTAAAAGGATGGGCATGGAAGTGCATGCCTTGAATCCCCAGCCTTTAGGGAAGCTGAGGCAGGAGGATCAGAAATTTGAGCCCAGCCTGAGCAACTTAGCAGCTGTCTTAAATAAAAAGGGGATGGGGACTGTAACTCAGTGTGAAGGCGACTATTGCATACAAATATTCTCAGATAAGAAGTTTACATCTCAGCAAACTTTCCACAGTACCAGCACACTAGTAGAACAGTTCCCAGATCAAAATGAAACACTAACTGGCTTCCTGGAAGCCCCTTCCTTCTTATTTCCAGTACAGATGTTCCTCATTTAATGACCTACCTGTTTAACAACTGTTTGGGCTTATGACCTGCTGCTCAGACTTATGATCCGCCTCTTTTTTTTTTTTTTTTTTTTTTTTTTGGTATAGTTCTGTACATCTTGTTTATAGAGCCTCAGTGACTTTTTTTTTAATATAGCACACCTTGTTTATACAATACTGTGATTTTTGCTGATGGTACTGTATATTACTGTAGTTTTATGTTGTGTTATACATTACATACTGCATATAAGAGTTATGTAAATAAAAGCAAAGTCATCAAGTTGGAATTTCCTTTGACCATTTCTTTGTTCTCAATATTGTAATGTACATAGTATAAACAATTCCTCATTTAACAACCAAATCTTTTTTTTTCTCATTGAATTTATTGGTACATTTTAGGTATACAGTACAGTTATATTCATCATTGGGATCTTGTACCTTTACATGACAGGTCTTGGTTCTCATTTTTTCTCCTTGTCCCTACCCTCCCTTCATCCCCTCCTCCCCTCCCCATTTACAAACATTTTATTTCCGTTTTCTTATTTTCTCCTATTTTTTCCCTTTCCCTTATTACCTTTCCCCACCCTTCCCACTTTCTCTGCACCTTAAGCCCTTTTCTTCCTATTTCACATTGTCAATTATCTCATTAGGATCTTAGGTACTGTTATAGTTTAATCACACCAGACAAACTATTCGGTATTTACACATGTGTGATATTTATTTCACTGAGGAGTATATCCTCAATGTGTATCCATTTACCTATGAATGAACCTAATTTCTCATTCTTTATGGTTGAGTAGTATTCCGTTTTATAGAAAAACCACATCTTCTTTATCCAGTTTCCAACTGATGGGCAAATGGGCTGTTTCCAAGTTTTAGCTATTACAAACTGTGCCGCTATAAACATAGGTGCGAATGTATCATGATACGGTTCTTTTAATTCTTTTGGAAAGATACCCAGCAAAGGGATGGCTGGGTCAAATGGAACCTCTA